TACCATGTTATTAATCTTCTAACCAATCTCCTTCATATTTAGCTCCATCAACATGATAATATGTTCCATAACCTTAAGCTCTATCATCTACCCAATCACCATCCTTAATTTTAATAATATGATACATAAGCATCGCCATCTGCATGAATTAATCTCCCTTTTCCATTAGCAGTGTGAGCACTCCAAAATCCTTCATATATAGATCCATCAGGCCAGAACTATTTTCCTTTTCCCCATCTTTGATGATTTTTCCATTACCCAACATATATAGCTCCATTCTCAAATTACTATAAGTTAACAATTAGTTTATACATAAGGTTCTAGTTCAATGCAATCTGCAAACTTCTTAAGTTATTCAGGATCATAACTATATTCTCCAAGTTTATCTAAAGTTTTACGTACCATTTCATTTTCTATTGTTGCTATTTTATCATACGGTTTAGCATCATCTGGAGAGGGACCATGCATAGCTATTAATTATCTATGTTTTTCTCTAGAAGCCTTAAATATAATGATATCAAATACATCATCTGGTGGATTTCCTGGAGCTGGTTCTTAAACTGGAATGTGAGGAGGTTCTTCGACTATTTTCTCTTGATCTAGTTCGATATTTTAATTATTTGCTTCAAAAGGTTTTTCATTATCAACTTGATGATTGAAATCTTCAGGAGCAGCATTAATTATTTCTGTATTTCCAATTTATTTAGCAGCACAACAAGTAGCTCCCATAACTTGAATATATTTAAATTAATATTAATTTATCATAAGAATTTAAATGAAACTCTTAAATTATTATAATTACAAACATTTATCAGATCTTATTACTTTTTTTACCTTGTAAATACAAGCTATAAAAGATGGAAGATTTATCTTCTAAGAGTTTTTAAGGATCATCAAACTCTTTGGCCTCTCCTTAATCAATTACTAATATTCTGATTAATATTAAATTAAAATTATTACTTATCACAATTCATTATAGTATTGATTCTATGAGCAATCGTTATTACTGTACATTTTTTAAAGGCTGTTTAAATTGTTTGTTAGATTTTTGATTCTGTATCAATATCTATATTAGCAGTTGCTTCATCGATCAAAATTATCTAAGATTATTTAAGAACTGCTCTGGCTATTGATATAAGTTATTTTTCTCCAGCACTTAAGTTATCTCCATTTTCTGATATTTCAGTATCCAAACCCTTCTTTTACAATAGCAAATCTCCCAAACAACATTATAAGGCTACATCATTAAGTTCTTAATCTGAATGCTAATGTAATGGATCAAGATTCTCTCTTAAGGTTCCTTCAAAAAGAGTGGAATCTTATAAAATCATAGTTATAGATTCTCTGAGTTATTTCAAATTTAAGGTTGATATATCAATTCCATCAATTATAATTGAACCACTTGATGCTTCAAGAATCCTTAACAAAGATAAAGTAATAGTTGATTTTCCAGCTCCAGTTCTACCTACTACTCCAATCTTCTCTTAACGTTTAATTACAACATTTAAACCTCTTAAGGCTGGAGATAAATTTTCTCTATATTTGACAATTAATGAATTTATTTGAATATCTCCTACTTAAGGCCAATTTAATATATAATCTTTTTTATCTTTATAGCCATTTTCATGTTCAACCTTAGCAAATGCCAAACATCTTTCAAAAGAAATGAATTGTGTTTCTGCTTAAGTAATTGAATTTATTGCTGATTACAAACTATTATCAATTACAGTTGCAACTGTCATTAATAAACCAGCTAATGCAGGATTTTCACTCCCATAAAATAATACAAATGCAATAGCTGATATATTTACAATAAAACTAGTAAATGTTAAATTCATTGAAAACCATGTAGTCGTTTATAATTGAGCTATTTGTATTTTCCTATTCAAATCAATATTTTTAGTGTGTCTATCTAAAAATTACTCTTATTTTGTAAAAGCTCTAATAATATTTAAACCATTGACTGTTTCTGAAAAGAAACTCAGAATGGGACTTTTACTTAATGATTCCAATCTATAAAGTTCCCTATTTGCAGCCATATAAAATCTTTAGACTTTCCATACTGCATATAAAAATACTAAAACTGGAAGAATAATATAATAGGAACTACTAAAAACATTGATTAGAGTACTTGCTATAAGATATTGACAAAATAAATTACCTATAAAATTTAAGCAACTAATATATAGAATAGATATAGTCCATAGAATTTCTGTATCTAGAACTGATTAATCTTTAGTTAATCTATTCATTAATACACCTAATGGAATCCTTTCAAAAAATTAACATAATGGTGCATAAAGTAATGATCTATTATATAATATATGATTAGAATTACTCAATCATTCTTGTATGTATTTTATTAGCAGTATTTACACTTTCTCTTGAGAGTGTTAGAATACGAATTAAGGCAAAAAAACCAAAACTTAAAGAAAAAAATGAGAAAATCATAAGATTATGTAAATTTTCATCATACGTTAAGTCTTCTTATCCTGACCATTATGCCAACCATATTTGTGATCCAAATCTAGCTATAACTTAAATAATAACAACAATAAGATTAAAAATAAAGAATAGGAATCCTCCACTCATTTTAAAATATTCTTTATATACATCTAATTATACACTACCAACTTTTCTATCTTCTAATAACATTAAATCATCTATTAAATCTTTATTATTATTATTATTTATTTATTGTGTAGATGATTTTTTTTTAATTAATTTAAGAACTTCTAATTCTTCAACTTAATCTTCTTTTTCTTCATTTTTTTATTCTTTAAAATATTTCTAATAAATTAAATCAAATTTATCACACTCTTTAATATCATCAAGAGTTCCTTCCTTAATTATTTAACCATTATCCATTAAAATAATTCTATCAGCATATTAACAAGAATAAAGAGCATGAGTAATTAATACTATAGTTTTACCATTCAAATGTTCACATAAACATTTTTCTATAATAAATTTACCTACATGCATATCAACTGCACTAATAAGATCATCTAATAAATAAATATCACAATCACTATATAATGCTCTAGCTAGACTTATCCTAGCCTTTTATCCTCCACTTAAATTAACACCTTTTTCTCCAATCATTGTAGCTTCTCCTTTATCTAGAATTTTAATATCTTATTCTAAACAAGAATAAATTATAGCATCTTTATATCTCTTTTCATCATAAGGTAGACCAAATAAAATATTATCTTTCAAAGTTGCATTTTATATCCAACTCTTTTAACTTACATATGCTATTCTTCCATTAATTTTAATCATTGGAGGCAATCTTGAAACATTGTAAACCATTTCTCCTAAAATTGCACTTATTAAAGAACTTTTGCCACTTGCAACACTAAATAATAATTATAATTAATAGTATACTCTCCAATTATTGTAACAAATTCACCAATATCAATTTTTAATTTAATATTTTTTAAAATTGGATCAATCTATTGATTAATAGGCACAACATCAGTAGATTTAATTTCATTTTAATTATTATTTTTTACTTTATCCCAATAAAAAGTTCCTTCAATTTCTATTGAATTTCCAAGAATATCATTTACATTTTAGATACAATCATTCATAAGTTCATCTGTCAATAAAAAATTCTATATTCTTTTTATACTTATATTTGCTTCAATAATTTAATTAATAAAACTTGGTAAAGCACTTGCTGATTATTATAATATACTAAATAAACTGATTATAGAAAATGTTTCTGCAGGTGATAAATTATATTATAGTAAAATGTATACTGCTAAAGTAATATTTAATGTTAATTATGGTGTCATTAAAAATGCTAAAATAAATAAACCACTAACAATATTCTTTTTATGAATTAATGAAATCTCTTTCTCTCTTAATAATAATAATTTATTTTTAAAATATTCTTCAAAAGCATTTGCTTTAATAAATTTAATCTAAGAAAATATTTCATGTGCTTATTTTGTTCTTTTATCCTTTGCAACCATTACTTTTTTCTATAATCTCCAACCCCATCTTCCAAGTAAAAAATTAGTAAGTAATCCCAAAATCATGACTCCCAAACCTGCTAAACATGAGACACCAATAAAATCAAATAATAAATAAAAGGATATCCCAATTTAAAATGGTAAAAATATTACAGAAGCCACTGCTATATTTAATTACAATATTCTTTATAAATCAACTTACATTATATTCATTATTTCACCTGTTTTGTATTACTTATTACTTTAAAAAGACACATTCAAAGTTTTCTTCATTATAGATACACTAACTGCTGTATGCTAATCATAACCTAGTTTTCTCTAATATTATAATCAAAGTAATTACCAACATATAGAAACTATTTTAATAAGAAATTGCATTAAAGACTCTTACAACTATTATAATTCCCAACCATTAAAATCCTTTTCCAATAGTATGTTCTGAATAGTCAATATAAGATAGAGTTTACCGAATCATTATAGGACCATACATTAAAGAAATGTTCCAAATTAAGATTATAATATACACTATAACAAATTGTTCTATATTTACTATTAAGAAAATACTTTTAAATGTAATAAAGAGAGATTTGTAGAGTGCAAATCTGTCATGTTTGTAAATTTAAAACGTTTAATTCATTCTTTTAAATAAAGATTCACCTTAATCATCTATTTCTAAATCTTTTATCATTTCGAATTCCAAAGGAGTTTTATTTGCTAATTGAAGTAAAGGAAACACATATAGAAATAAAGTTCTAGATATCAATCCTGGAGGTCGAGAATTTCTATTTTATAGAAGAGGTTCCTCTTGTGACATTTTTAATATATATTGATTTAAATATATTAAATTTAGAATTATTCTTTCCAATTAATATATAATTTTATCAATAATATACTAAAAACATTATTTGAACAAATAATTAATAAATATTTTAAATAATGTTAATTTCTTAGCAACTAATGCTAAAATATATACTATAATATCTAGACTATCAAATAATTTATGGTTGATCTAAATAAAATTCATGATTTTGAGTCTAAATGTATAAAAATTATTCTATACATATCTTTTTTATTCTAATTTAGGGTTCTTATATAAATATAAAATATTTAGTAAATGATTCTTCAATTTCTTTATTAATGTAAATTTGAAAATATTGATCTTCCTATTCACCTTATTCAGGATATTCTTAAAGTAATTGTAAAAATGTCAATATTCTAAATAGTATAAGGTAATACCCTAAGTATTTAGGTCTTTTTTTTCGTTAGATTCAAAATATTTAATAAATGATGAAGAAATTAATTCATTTTATTAAAATTGACTTAATTCAGTAAATTAATCAAATACTATTTTAGTGATTAAAGTATTATTGAATTTAAAATCAATTAATAATTATAAATAGATCCTAATGAATCCCTTAAATAATTAATTATTTTTAGCATATTTGGCAAATGAATAAGTAAAACTTAGTAAATTTAGTCAAAAAACTTAATAAATGAATTAAATATTTAAATTTTATTGAAAGCTCTGGATTCTCTGTTTTTATAAATTTAATAATTTTTTTAATCAATATTAAGAATTAAAACTTATCATCTAGATTAATATCCACCAAATCATTGATAATTATAGACATTTTATAATAATAATTAGCTCTAAGATTGACAAATTATTGATTCTCATATTTATTTTATAAATTATCATTTGCATCTTGGATTAATTTAAAAATATTAGATTTTTATGTTAAATATTTTATTATTTCAATAATATAACTTTTACTAAATGTTTCGATATCAAAATTCATATCACCAAAATTTAATTCATAATTTTTTGTTCGATACACATGATTTATTGATTCTAAAATTAATAAATTTTATCATTCATGATTAAACTTGCAATAATGATAAATCCTATTTTGATTTTTTTAAGAGAGAGAATATGATCAAGATCATTAGATAATATATTGATTTGATATATGAATTTATCATTTTGTGAATTTTTTTCATATTTCATTTGTAAATTGTTATATTTATTAATTTAAATATCAAAATTACTAAGAGATGTTTTCATTTTTAGTCAAGAAAATAGGAATGCTCAATCAAGGAAAAGTGCATTGTATAGCTTGGAATTAAGAGGAAGGTTGGATAGCAATTGGAGGAGAGTAAATAAAGTTGATAAATTAGACATGCACCATAAGGATAAAAAAAAGGTTTATTAAAAATTATAAAGTTGGATGATTAAAAGGCAGGTATTCAAGGACAAGTAAAAATAGTATATAAATATTATTAAGTAAGCCAAATTACCATATGATACAATCTTAGAATAACATACGGGTAAGGTGAATATAATAATTTGGAATGAGAGATATTAGAAGTTGACTACTAGTGATGATTAAGGATAGATAATTGTATGGATAAATTTGGGAGTAAATAATAAGTGTATAAACATAATAGAATGAATGGGTAGAAGAAATGGTTAACAATAGATAGAAATCAAATGTAACCGATATGAAATGGTCACCTGATGGATTTAAAATTGGAATAATCTATGAAGATGGAGCAGTAATTATTGGATCAGTTGAAGGTAATAGATTATGGGGCAAAGATTATCAATACAGGTTAGGATTAATTGAATGGTCGCCAGATTCAAAACTAATGATTTTAGGAACAGCTGATGGTTAAGTTATTATACATGATTAGAATGGCAATTAATTGAATTCATTAAAAATGACTTGTTTAATGGGATTAGTTGATCCCAAAAATTACTTTGCCCCTAATTAATAAATTGCAGCTGTCTAATGGTATGAATATGGCAAAATGTATACTGATGAAACTCTTCCAGGATTGTTAATTGGATATACATGTGGTAGAGTTTAATTAATGAAAAATGATAAGGATGAGTCACCTATATTAATTAATACAGATATGATTGTATCATCTATCAGATGGAGTCCTAATGGTTCTATGTTTGCTGTTGCTGGTAGTTTAAAGGAAAAAGATGATCAAAGGGCAGTTGTGCAATTCTATTCCAATATGGGTGATCATCTAAAAACATTGAGAGTTGCAAATACTGATAAAGTTAATAGTTTGAGTTTTGAAGGTGATGGCTTGAGATTAGTAATGGGAGTTGGTCAAACTGTTTATGTTGCTAATCTAAAATTAGATTATAAATGGAGTTATCTATCATAATCTGAAACTCTTATTTTTGCTTATCAAAGATAAGATAGAATGGAATTTACTATTATCTTTTGGGATACAAAAAGAGAATAAAAATCCATTAGATATATGAAAGGTTTACTTGATATCAAAGGTTCTAATGATTGTTGTGTCTTAATAAGTCTTGTTGAATAAGACACATGGAAGGTTGAACTTTGTAATTCAATTGGTAGTCCTTTGGATACTAAATTTATATCTATTGATCCTAAATATAGTTGTATGACTAAAACTCATATTATTATTGCCAATAATGATTATGTCTATTTATGGTAATATAGAAATTAAGTCTAAAGATTAACCACCTTTGAATCTAATTAGAATACAGGAATCAGAAAAATTGGTAAAGAAATGGCTTGGTTTATAGATGAAAACCCAGATAGTTAAGTAATCTATGATAAGGATACATTTAATTTAGAAAAATAAACTGATGAAATTATTTGTGCAATATAAGCTAATGAAAATTATTTGTTTATTGGAAGAATTAATGGTAATATATTAAAATTTACATTACCTTATGTCAGTGTTGAACCTAAATATTTCCTTGAAAATAGACCAAATATTATTAATATAAATTGTAATTCCACTCGATTATCTATTATTGATATTATGGGAAATTTATAGTTATTGGATATTTCTGTAGCAAGTGGAAAATTATTAGATTTTGATAAGAAGGATTGTTGGCAAGTTGTTTGGTCTGATAATGATCCACTTTAATTTGCTGTAATGGAAAAAGGTAGAATCCATCTTGTAAGAGATGTAAATGCTGAAGATCCTTATCCTTGTGAGGCTTACTTATGCTCGTAAATCTTAGAATTATCATTAGATTCTCAGAACTTACTGTTAGAGGAGCATTATTAGATGATATAATGATGAGTCCAGATGGTTAATTAAGAGCTGATGAATTACTTGTTTATTATGAAAGTAGATTATTTAAAGAAATCAAGGAATCAATTCAAAAAACTCTACCTAAAGAAATGTTTAGTATAATTGAAAAATAACCAGTAATATATTATGATTGATTATAAAATAGTCTAATACTTTATGGTAATTATTGGCTTAGAAAGCTTTGGAAGAATTAGATTTTTCAATAGCAGAAAAGTGTTATTTGAAATTAGAAGATTATGCTGGATTACAATTTATAAAAAGGATCTTAGATTATGATGAAAAAGAAAAATAAAAAGCAGAAGTTTATGTATTTTTGAAAAGATTTGATGAAGCTGAGAAAATATTAAGAGAAATTGAAAGAAAAGATTTAGCTGTATAAATGAGAATGAAAACTGGTGATTATTAAAGAGTGTTATTTTTATCTAAAGATCTTGTAGGTGCAGATGAAGTTACAGTTCAAACTTAAAATAAATTGGGAAACTATTATTGTGATCAAGGAGAATGGGAAAAAGCATAATAATAATTTAAATTATCTAATAATATTGAAAAATTAATAGAAACTTCATTTATGATTGAAGATTATTAAACACTTGAAGAATTAGCAAATTCAATGTAAGAAGGAAATGCATTATTATGTGATTTGGGTGAAAGATTCTAATTATTAGGAATGGCAAAAAGTGCAATCAAATGTTTTGAAAAAGCAGGAGATATTAAAAAAGCTATAGATTGTGCTGTTTTATTAAATGCTTGGAATTTTGCTGTTGAATTAGCTGAAAGACATAATTTTGTATAAATTGAAGGATTATTACAATAATATGCTGCTTAATTATTAGAATAAAGAATGAAATTAGAAGCAGCAGAATTGTATCGAAAAGCTAATCATAATTCAGATGCTGCTCGTCTTTTATCATAAATTGGTGAAGATCTTATTAAAAGTGATTAAAGTCCACTTGTTGTAAAGAAATTGTTTGTTATGGCTGCATTAGAAGTTGATCTATATAAAAAGAAGTTATATGATGTTACTATGACTGCTTAAAATAATACAATTGCTCATACATTAGATTAATTAGTTACAAATGATTTAAATCATTCTGCTGATAAAGTACTCAATAATCCTTGGAGATAAGCGGAAGCTTGGCATTTCTATATTTTAACACAAAAATTTCTCTATTCTGGTAATTACAAATATGCATTGTAATTTATATAATATTATTATAAAATAGAAAATCTGCCATTAGATTATGTGAATTTGAATTAGATATGGATCCTAAAAGGATATATTCTTTACTAGCTCTTGCTGCTTATTATAATAAATCATATAAAGAATGTGCCAGAGCTTTTGTAAAACTAGAAAACTTGGAAAATATTACAGAAGAAGAGAGGGAGAGATATTAATAAGTTGCTGCATAAATTTTTGTAAAGTATAATAAGATAATAATCAAATAATAGAAATGCACCAGAAGATTAAGTTTGTGATGCTATCTAATGTCCAAAACCATCTTGTGGTAATAAAAAAATCACTGAATAGTAATAATAAAGTTTATTATATAATAGTTAATTATTCTGTAAAGAATGTGGAACCATTTTCGGGGTTTGTGTGGCTTCTGGAAAATCTATATATGGATAGAAGTTTTACACTTGTAAAGCCTGTAAACATAAGATGATTGATCAGGAAGTCTAAAGCCAAGCTTTAAAATTTTGTTCACTTTGTCATACACCAATAGATTTTAATAGATTTGGAAAACATGGAGACAAATAATTATGAAATTAATAATAAAAATATAATTTTTAATAGTAATTAATTTGGATGTATCTTTCAATTCAAAATAAACTACAACACTAGTGAGAATTTTGAATTTCTTATTTAAATTAAGACAATTTATCAAAAGGTAGTAATTAGAATTCTTGTGATTAACAAAAAAATTCTAATCATAAATTTCCTAATATGAAGAAGAAATTTATAAGAATAATTATGAAATATAAGAAGAACTAAATAAATATTCATAAGAAATTATGTCTCTTATTGATGAATTTCCTTAATAATATGGGATGATCAATCAATATATTTTTATAAAATAGATATTAACATTAAATTAGGATAAAGGTATATTTTAAAAGATAATGATTTTATGAAGGTTATTTTAGAATAACGAAAGAAAAGTGATCGATTAAATTTAGATTAGTTATTTGTAGAATGGAATAATATAATGAGATATGGAATTAATCTAGAAGAATATTTGGCATAAAGGTTTAAAGTAAAAATTATGTTCTTCATAGATAGAGATTTAATGATTTAAAAACTATAGAATTTATTTATAAAAGGGGATACAAATAATTTGGTATATGAAGGAGAATAGAAATATAATAGAAAAATGGTTTATATAAAATGGAAAAGAAATATATGTTAAATGGAATGATGGGAATTTATAGGAAGATTTATAATAATGATTAAGAAATTAATCAAATTATAATCAGTATTATTTTTCATTTAAAATTTTACATTTTCTAACTGATCAGTTGTTCATTCATGATTATAAAATGTATTATTATTAGTTTTACATAAATGAAATCCTAATTATTCCAATTAAATAATATGACATATTAATTATTATTTAAAGAATGTCTGGTATTCAAATACTTCAAATGCTATTAAATTTTCAATTAATATGTTTGAATGTTAACTAAAAATTATAGAAAAAGAATTTCACAATATAAATCTTGAAAGTAAATTGCAATAATGTGTATTTTAAATTAACTATTTAATCTTCTTCACTTTGGAACATACTTATGGGTTTATGCACTTCCTCAAGGCAGAGAACAAATAATAATGATATTCCAATCATTCAAAAATCTAAAATGGATTAAAGAACTTCAAATGTTAAACTTTTACTTGATTAATATCACAAACTTAATGTTCTCCTAGATTTAGTAGGAAACACAGATAATTTAGAAAAAAAAACAAGAGATCATATCAACCTACTGTTTGTAACTAAATCTAATATTACAATTCTTATCCAACATAGTCTTAAAAACATAATGAAAGAGAAGAACATTTCAAGACTAATCACTAAAGAAGACGAAGCATGGTTATATGATGATTTGATCTTTTTAAGCAAGATAGGACCTTAATTTTAAGTTTTTCTAAAGGTAATAGACATTTTGTTTGAAAATGAAGACTTTGAGAACTCTTTTCCAATATTAAGTCACGGATTTCAGTAAATGAGTGAAGATATTAAAAAAATGCCTTTTTTAAATACATATACATAAACAAAGAATACTTCTATTTGAAATGATATTTGTATTAAATTATTTACTTACGATATGATTCTTAAATCTTAAATAGTTAAACCAAATTATTATAATATCTTCTTTGTAGTATCAATCCAAAAAATCTTCTAATCTCTCTATAAATAAGGGAACTTAAATGAACTTTGAGATGATTGTATTTTTTACCATTCTAAAAGATAATAAAATCTAGTAAAAAAATAAAAATAATTTTGTTAAATCTTCATTAGTAACATATATAATTCTTTTGAATTTAGATAATATTTGAATTCATTGTGTTAAGGAATAATTATTTATTTATATTAATTATGCAAAGTACTTAAAATTAAGAAGAATAGATATAAATCGACTAAATTCCAGAGCCCAAAAAATATGAATTTAAGTATTTTTCTATCTTAGAAAAAGAGGTTTGGTGTCCATAAGAATTAAGTGGGTTTAAAGTTATAACAATAATTAAATGTAAATGGCGGAGACGTATTTTCTTTAAGATACGATTAAGATGATCAATATCTTGCTGTTGGGATGTCAGAAGGATTAATTCATCTTTATAATTAGAGTATATATATGATTTAAAAATAATAGATAAACATACACATACCTTGGAGTAATTCTAAACACCAGTAACTGCTTTAAGATGGAGGCCAAATTATGGTCTTAAGGCTAAAGGAATATTGGTATCAGCAAATGCAGAAGGACATATTATACATTGGCATGCACATTCAGGAAAATAATTACACAAAATTGTAGAAGAGAATAACAGTGTTTTATGTTTGGACTTTAATTTTGATGGAAGTTTATTTGCCACAGGAGGAAAAGATTTCTGTATTAGAATTTATGATGATGATATAAAAAGTGTATAGCATCAATATTAATAAGCTGATTGGTATCTTTTTTTAAAATAATTAGGGGATAGAGAGGCCATGCTAATAGAGTATTTGTAGTAAAGTTTATACCAGATTAACCAAATATACTAATATCTGGGGGATGGGATGCCAATGTCTTAATTTGGGATATAAGAGAGAAGTAATGTGTAGGTTAATTTTATGGGCCATCTCTATCAGGAGACTCACTTGATTTTTCAGTGAAAAGATAATAGATTTTAACTGGGTCACATAGAACAGAAAATTAAGTATAATTATGGGATTGGAGAACAAGAAAACTTTATTAAGAAATATTTTGGACTGGATCTTAATCTGATGAAAATAGATCATATTATATATATGCAACTTAGTTTAAGTAATTATTTAATTAAAATTTAGCAAAGCAAATGAGGACTATATTTATGCTGGCAGTTCAGGAGTTCATGAAATCAAACTTTTTAGTTTGAAAGATGGTCAAGCCAAGGCTTCTATTTTGGGGTTACCAAAAGGTATACTTAGTATTGATTAAATGAATACAACTGATTCAATTATATTTAGTGGTATGGAAGGTGTTGTTAACATATTTAAGGCATGAATTAAAATAAATAATTATTATGTTAAGGCATTTAATCAAAAACAATTTTTCAAAACTTTCTAAAGGTCTTATATTCGAAAATAAAAAAGGGAGCAAATTATTATTCTCCAAAACTATTCCTGAAAAAGACATGCTGAAAAAAGCAAAGAATCCTGATTAGTTTTTAAAAATTGAAACGAGATTATAGCTCTTATTTGATTAATATAAAACAGAAAAAGTATTGTAATACGATTTATTAATATTAAAGCAATCAAGTAAATTTCGATAATTTTCTTTAAATTAAAGAAGAATTTCTAAAGTAAGATTTTGAAAAAAATATATTTTTCTCATTTGTCAACACAAAATTCTAAAAAGAAAATCACCCTAAATATTTTTATTTTTAATGTTAAATGATTAATGAATTTTTAGAACGTTATGATAAAGAAATAACAGAAAAAGAGATTTATGCACTATTAAATGCTATATAAAATGGATTATTTTATGTTGAGGATTAATATTTTTTAAAAATAAAAAAAGTAATTTTTACAGTAGAAGAGGAATAATTTATATTAGATATCTATAATAAATTATGTGGAAAATTAAGCATAAATTTATCAAATGATAAATAAATTAAAGCTCTTTGTTAATTAATGAAATATATCAAGAGATATAGTACTTCTATATTAGATTAGATAAATTAACAATTATTAGCTTCCATAGATAAATAAATTAGTTTAGAATAAAAATTATATTACACTTTGTTTTTAGTAAAAGCAGGAATCAATTATTTTCCTTAAATAATTTATTAAGTAAATTTTTTTAATTAATTTAGTTAAGAGATGAGGTTCTTGAAAATGAGAAAATTTTAAATTTACCAAGTTCAACTTTATTTGAATTATTTGAAATTTTTGGCAGATGTAGTAGAGTAACACTATGTTCATCAGCAACTTATAAATTATTTACAACAATAATCTAAACAAAAAATTATTCATAATTAACTTTAACTTAATAAGTACTTTTACTTTATTATGGATCTAAAACATTAACTATCCAACATAGTACATTAAAACCTCTAATTGAATAAAAATTATCTGAATTAGATTCATTAAAAGGAATAAATTTTAAAATATTTCTATTGACTTTATACAATACTAATTACAAAAGTTTGGGTTCTCTAAAAAATTTAGAGAAAATAAAAATAAGATTCTCAGAGATTGAATAAACAGCTCGTTTTTCAAAAGAGGAATTAAAATTTTTTAATGATTTAATGTATTGTTTATGATTTAATATTTATCAATATATATATCATTATTCAATCAAATTTTATAATTATTAACTTAACTCTACCATATTTGGATATTCATCTAAAAGACCGCTTAAATAATCTAATGCTATAACTGTTTTTTGATTCAAATACTATTCATAATTCTCATTATTAATTGTTTATTAGATTTCATTTATATTCTAATTCATCTATTAACAAAATCCTTATTTACAGTATCTTTAAGAAAAGTGTGTTAATATTAATGTTTTAGCATTGGCTAAAATAGCTGATTCAACAGCTTCTCTAATAGTTGAATGCTTTCTATTTATGGCATTTTGTTAAAGATTATCTGTAAAAGTGGCTTCATGAATCATTAAATCAACATTTTATGATAATTAAACGAATTATTAGCAAGGTCTGGTATCCCCAGAATAACTTATGCTACTTCCATCTTTGAAATTTATTCTTAAACCATAAGCCTATGGACAATGATCAACATTAACATATTTTAATTAAATATCAAACAGGTCTTGGAGTTATTCTAAATTTATTTCATTAAATTTCTATAATTTTGCATTCTAATTTATAAATTCTTATTCTAAGTTATAATTTTGATAAGGAATATAACAAATATGGATTTAATTTTTAATTTAATAAAATTCTATTATTTAAACAAGCCAAGGAATCATAATTTAGGGGACTAAAAGATAAACATTGTTACAGTTTTATAATAATGAAGCTATCCCTAAATTGTGATCGCAATGCACATGACTAATCCAAATAAGAATTTTTTATGTAAAATCAAAATTATTTTAAACTTATAGTTAATGATAAGTTCCTTCACCACAATCTAATATAATTGCTGAATTTAATTGTTTAACTAAAATTCCAGAAACATTTCTATATTTATTTGGCCGCATAGATGCTGTTCCTAAAAATTATAGTAGAATCTTAGATTTATAATTTTTTATAGGAGATTACTAATAATTGATTTCTTTGATTAAAGAAGTTTAACCAATCATCGAGGGATTCATCATCTGATATCCTTTCTTATTTTGAGGAATTAAAATATAATGATAATTTGTTTATAATTAGATTTATTTCTTATTCTCGATTGAATGATTATTATGATAAATTGGGAAGTTAAAAGGATATTTAGAATTTAAATAATTACAAATCATCTTTGTCTTTGGAATACTATCAGAATATTCATTCTTTATTTCTTAATTGCATAAAATATGATCTACATTAATGTTATTTAGAAAATTTATATAGTTTTCTGTTTTAGGATCATTTATATGTAAAATGCATCTTAAATTATATGGAAAAATGATTTGTGTTAAATCTGAATCCTCAACTATATCTAATATTAAGATTCCTTATTCTTCCAAATCAGGTTCTCTAAAATAAGCCTCTGAATAAATTTAATCTCCTAATTATATTTAATGATTTTGAAATAATTCTTTCTTTTAAATATTAGATAATTTTAAAAGGTTAAGCTTATCAATAGAAACATTACCTCTAATCTTTCTGGTTTTAATTATATAAGAAATATTATTGTTTTTGTGTAATATTGGTAAAATTTCCACATTTTCATCTGTAAACTATTTCAAAGATTCTTTTTCATCATATTTAACAAGTTTGAGTCCATTTAAAACTGGATAAATATTTCCATCTAAAATATTTTTGAATTATTCATCAATTTTCTGGTATATAAGATTCTTTCCCCAAAACTCATGGCAAGATAAACTTATTATGTTTTTTCCTCCAATTTCACTATATCTAAAAGCTGAAATCAGTTAACTTAATCCAGGAGGTCCATAAACCTTAGTACCATCAATTTATTTATCAAAATTAAGTGTGAGTAATAGTCCAATTATACCATTTATGTAGGAAACATTTAAATTAGTAAAAAATATCTATGATGCTGTTTTAGTCTTTATGCTAAAATCAGAAATATATCTTTGAAAACCTTCTGGTATATTAAAAATATAAGACTTTTAATCAAAGTTAAGTATTATAGATGTTTTGGCTAACTTTATAAATTGTATATGGCACTTAGCCATTTTAATTATTTTAATAAATATTAAATAAATAAAGAATTAAAAAAATAAAATACTCTAATCTCTTTTACAATAGAAATTCAAAATTATCCCATTTTCTTTTAGATATTAATTTTTGCAAATATTTTATAATTTTCGACATAATTTGCAACTTATTAATACTTTTAAATATTTTTTTTAAGAATTTATTTATATTTGAAGTATTATTGAAAACAAATTTTTAGAATATAATACTAACATTAAAATTTGTTTTCAATTAATGCTTCATTTAGTAGCTTATATATCATATTTTTAAGTAAATAAATTAATTTATGATTTTAGTTAAAGATTTTTGCTAACATAAATTCGATAATAATATCAATTCATTTCTTCTTTTCTTTTCCATCTACTATTTTATAAATTTAATCTCTATAAAAATAATATAAGACTGGTGCTGCTGATAATGTTACCAAACTAATTAAACCCTTAATATCCCTTTTGAATTTCATTTTTTAATTAATAATTATATTTTTTATTGTGATTTCTATTCTTATTTTTGATGAAATTATTTATAATTGTCACTACAATTATAACATCAATGATGATAAATTAGCTATTCTTATTTGGATTATTTAAAAAGCCAAAAAGTGATCATGGAAATATAATTAGATGTTCTATAATAAATATTACACCTATTGACATTCAATTGTTTTAAGATAATTTGCTTTTTCTTTCTGATAATGGGATATATGATGAAAAATAATTACTTCTTTACTCCTAGAATAATAGCTAGGCAATCTTTGCAAGTGAAAACCATATATATATAGCTCATGATAATATAATTGATATATTAAGTAGTTGGAATATTGTTAAAACAATTTAATTGCCTAAAGGATTAATTATTTATGATTTTATAGTAGTTCATGATGAGATTTACATTACTTTAGATTATTAAATTTCTGATTTGCTAGGCTTTTATTTTTAGACTAAAAGTTTTTCATTATTGAAATGTGATTTTGAAGGTAATTGTGAATTTTAGTATGAAATAAGTGGTGTTCATTTAAGTGGAATTGAATTGTTAAATGATAAAATTTATATTGCAGACACATTTTAAAAAACACTAAATGTTTACGATTTAAATTATAATTAACTTTAAACTATTTAATTAGACGATGGACCAAAACGATTAATAAAAATTGTAGATAAATTATATTTTACAGCAATCCCAAAACTCATTGAATTGTTAACTCTACCAAAATTCACTAGTTTATACTAATATGATGATTTAGAGGGATTATAAAAATTAGTAACTTTTGAAAATTTTTATTATGTTGGAGTGCAGTACAAAGAAGAAATAATAATGGGTAATCATAAATGTTTTTGAATTTAATATATATTTAACAAAAATCTTATAATAATATTAGAGATACTCTTTCTTTTTAAAGTCTGTCTGAGTCCATAAATCACTAATTTAATGTTTTCAATAGAAAAAAATATATCTATAGAATTAAACTAGTTTTTCTTGGATAATATTCATTATTGTATGAATAAATAGCTTGAATAATTGTTTCTATTCCAATAAATTTTATTTAACATAACTTAATTTAATTTAAGTAATAATAAATGGTTTTATTAACTGAAGTGAATATCTTAATCTTAATCTATAGAATTGTTGACATAAAACTATGCAGAAAAAAAGATTTTTTGTTTGTTTTCAGAGTTCTGTTTAATAAGTGTCACGATAAGCCACATTATTTCACGAGTCCGGTATCCTTCCGCCGCTCATAGCGATCCCTATTGCTTGCTCTGTTTCCAGCCTAAGCCATTGCGAGATTCTTTAACACAAGTGAAATTCTCATTACTGATGAATCCCACAAGTGACTACGAGCTCGGTTAGGGCGGTGACTCTTAACGAAATAACTCAACGAGCTCTCAGATGACAGCTTATCAAACATCCTCTTACAACCCACATAAAGTGACAGCCAAGTTACCCTAGCCTGGGTTAATCAATTCAATATTATATTACATTTATTACGTGTCTAATTAAATTTCTTAATTTATGGGTTTAAAAACATATTTAATAAAACAATTTTTCATTAAATTTATTTAATAAATTATTTCTACATTATTTTTCTTATAATTATTCTTATAACTTATTTATTCTTTGATTAAAAAAATCAAATTTAATTGATTTTTCTAAATCAATTGATTTATAGAATCGTAAATTAATAAAATGAACTAATTTAACTTATATATCATCAATTCATTGGCTACTGCATTTATCCAAATTAATTTGGAGGTTATGGTGGAGCTAATGGAACTTAAGGATAATTATAGTTTGATTATTGGTTTTGATCTTTCAAATACATGGTGCTATCAGTAAATTGTACAATTTAAGGTTGGAATACTTAAGGATTCCAGTTAGAAGGTTGAGCCATAGGTTAATTATAAACTTAAGGCACAGGAGCAACTATTTCAATAGGAACATCTACAGTTGGGTGCTTGTTACAACATACACAGCCTAAATTTTAGAAACTATTAATTTACCAGAAAGAATTGCTTAAACTTATAATCTATATACTGATCTAACTAATTAACCATTAGATGAAGGACGAATTCCATCTTGTGAATTCTTATTGTGTAAAATTAGTTAGATTTATTTTCTGTCATTTTCAACAGCTTTTACACCTGCTCCAATTCCTTGAATTTATTATGAAACAATAGTCCTTGTTATAACCTTTTCTCTTCCTGTTTTGTCTCTTAATGTTAAATAATTTATTAATCTAGCATCAATTCTTTTAACATCCAATTTGCAATTTGAATTATCCAAATCAGCCCATAGATACGCAGTATCTCCTGGAAGATAATGATTTTTATCAAATACACATTTTATATAAGAAGTCTATTTATAATTTTGAATAATTACTCCTTAATCAATGCAACACCAAGTTGATGCTTTTAATTCCATTTAACCCATTAAAGCTGTCATATTCTACTTCAATGGTTCTCTAACAACTAAAGGTTATGAATGTTTAATGCTCTTATACGATTTATTATATGATTCAATTTCTGCTTTGACACTATATGAAATTTTTGCTTAAAAATCGGATCCTTTTTCGAAATAAGATCCTGGTAAATGAGATAATAATTAAAATTAAAATGGGAAGGTATATTACCCAACTGGTAAGCAAGGAGTATTAAATGTCCATATTGCAACTCGATGTTAATAAAATTAGGTTTAACCTGAATAGGTCACATACTCAGTATGTTGTTCTTGTTTTCCATCTGTTCCAGTAGTGGTGTGAGAATAACTTTCAGTCCAATGACATTTTTCTTTTCCAGATACCTTCAATAATACTACTCCTCCAGGATATCCATCTTTAAAAATATTCAAATAGATATTTCCTAAATTTTAAGATTTCTTCATACCTGTTATGATTTCTCCAGCAAAATAGAAGGGTTTATCCGTTCTAATATATACACCTCCAAAATCTGATCCTTATTAATTTCCCATAATTATGTTTAATATTTAAATCAATATAGCATATTGTTTTGTATTCAAGAATGAAATAAAATGTGGAATAAGTAATTATATTGAATAAAAACTAATAAACTACTCAATTCTTTAATCTAGTCTATAACCATTATCTCCAATATTTTTCAGATATTTATTTTTGAACACTTTCTGTATATAATTAGGCTACTAACATTGATTAACCTGGATGATTTTGTGGCAATTCTTTTTTCATTTCTAAAGCAAGTTCAAAGAATCTTCTTTTTGCATCTTAATCAACTATAGTAATTCTTGATTATGCTATGCTTCCATATTTTTCATTCATATCTTAGATTATCTTATAATCTTATCCAATTTCACTTGGTCCTCTAGATAAATTGATATCAACAGGAATCTTAAATTCAGGTTAATTCTAAATATTTGCTGATACTTTGCTTTTCTAAAATTTTGTTGGAACCTATGAAGCTGCTTTATTTGGAGAACAATCATTTGAAAAATCATCAGAATCACTATCATTATATCCATTAGTTTTCTTTGAATATTTTTATTCTAATTATTCCAGATATGATTTTGTGTCCATCATTTGATGATTGGGTTTTGAGTTTGAATATTTTTGATTGTTAAAGTTTGTTAAATTATTTCCATAATCATATGATCCAATCCTTTATACATCTTTTAAACTATTATAAGTTCCATCATAAGAAGATAATGCTCTACTCTCAGTCATTTCAGTTAATTTAATATTATTTCACTATTTAATGTTTGATAATATTAGATCAGCTGATGAGCTATATGCTACTGAAAACGAAAAAGAATATTATGATCGAAAACTTTCTGAATATCAAGATATTTACTCTATTAAATAAGCCATTACAGCTTATAGCAAAATTAAATTATTTAATATCGATCAATAACAAAAACTTAAATATGAATGCTATTCTAATTGTTATGATAATAATTAAGTGATTTTCGAAAATTAAGAAGAGGGAATTAAAAAACTTAGTAGATGCTTAACCGAATGTAAAAAACAAACAAAAGATCTTAAATAGTTTTTAAAAAATGTTGATAAACTAGTTTATTTTAAGAATTAAACATGCCATTCTAATTGTGATTAGATAATTAATTATAATGCAGATTAAACTTACTAAGAAAAAATTAGTGTAAATTTTTTACTAATTTATAGAATAAAATTAATGTTTATAGATGTAGATGGGTGTGTGAAAATAAGTTAGATCGTAGATATAGAGAATTTTGGTTAAAGTAAAGAAATGATATAATTGATCAATATTCCAACTAAATGGCTAATTGAGTTATTATATTTAATATATATATATATATGATAAAAATTATCATTATCTCTAATTATAATTCATCTTTTATCCTTAAGAATTCTAGAATTGAACTATATTTCTTATAAATCAAACTCATATATATATGTATAAATATGATTAGAGTATTTCTAAGTTGATTATAGGTTAGAATAAAAATAAATTTTTATTTGATAATTTTATTATTGACACGAATTCCTCTGTGGTTTATTATTGAATATTTTGATATTATTTAAATTTTTAAGATAAAGTAAGAATCGTTCTTGAAATAAAAATATTCAAAAATCAGATTTTTGAGCTAGATATTTATGGGGTTTTAGAATAATTATAAATGTTGATCTACATTAATAATTGTAAACCCATAAATTAAGAAATTTAATTAGACACGTAATAAATGTAATATAATATTGAATTGATTAACCCAGGCTAGGGTAACTTGGCTGTCACTTTATGTGGGTTGTAAGAGGATGTTTGATAAGCTGTCATCTGAGAGCTCGTTGAGTTATTTCGTTAAGAGTCACCGCCCTAACCGAGCTCGTAGTCACTTGTGGGATTCATCAGTAATGAGAATTTCACTTGTGTTAAAGAATCTCGCAATGGCTTAGGCTGGAAACAGAGCAAGCAATAGGGATCGCTATGAGCGGCGGAAGGATACCGGACTCGTGAAATAATGTGGCTTATCGTGACACTTATTAAACAGAACTCTGAAAACAAACAAAAAATCTTTTTTTTGTATGAAATAATAGGATAAAATACAACTTACTATAGTTTTATCTAGTATTAATTAATAGTAAACAAAATACTATAAATTTCTTATTGACATATATATCATCTAAGATTTTAGTTTTTTATTGTAAATTTAAAAGGAAATATTCAATTTATGAATTGTTATTCGTTATTCAACTCACCTATTCCATCAATGACGCTCATAATAATTAAATATTTATAAATTAATTTATTAATGCTTATTAGAAATGCAGTGAAGAGAATTTTTTAAACTATTTTCCAAAGTAGATCATTATATCTTCCAATTAAATAATAGGTTTATATTCCAACCCTAACTATGGTACCTTAATATGGATTTTTTTTTAATGGCAAACATGATAAGTATATTTTGATCCTAGATTATGAGGGATGAAAAATAAGCTGAAATTGATAAATTGTATGACTAAATGGAAGATTGCGAGAACGAGAATTAATAAATGGATATGTTGAGAAAAATAATAGAGATCAGAGAAGAAATGGATTAATCAGAAAAAAAAAAATGTGTGTCATTGTTGTTAGACAAAATAGAGTATGCACGATATTTAATTGAAAATTAATAAATGGAAGATAAATTAGTTTAAGAAGTACTTTCAGATGATTTTTTGAATGATGTTCATTACAATAATGTCGATTTGTCTAAATATCCTATGAATTTTAACTAATTTTTATGGCACAATTTGGCAATTGGAGTAATTCCTCTAAAATATGCTAAACAATATGATGATGTAGAGTTTAGAGAAATTGAATAATGGTTAAAGTAAAATAATAAAATATTTGACAAGATAATATAAAGAATCTGTGGTGTTTATAAAAAATTATCTTAATAATAATTTTGAGGAGATTGGTGAGAGTGAAGGATACTTAACTAAAGAGTAAGGATTATAATAATATTATTATAATTTGGCATTCTATTATGAAATGAAAGCGAAATTATTGATAGAATAAGATTAAATATAATAAGGTATTAAATATTATGAAACAGCTTTGAAGGAGACAGAGAAATTTATGGATATAGTTAAATAATGTAAAATTGATAATTTAATTAGTATGCAATCATGAAAATCCTGAAGTTGCTAATGAGGCAGAGAAATAAAAGGAAAAGGGAATTGCTAAATTTGCTTAGATATTTGAAGATTTAGGAAGTGTTTAAATTGAAATCTAAGAATTTACAGCTGCAAGACCTTATTTTGAAAAAGCAATAGAACTTTATTTATAAGTTTTTGGGAAACATTCAATCTAATATGCTTAAAGTTATTGTTAATTGGCTTCAACTTATTAGTTGACTGATTTATCAAAATGTGAAGAAATGTTAAAAGATTTTCATGAATATTTAGAAAGCTTCAATTAAGATACAATATATTTAGAAGTTACTATGAATTATTTTTGTATTTTAGAAGGTTAAGAGAGAGGAACAAAAGAATTATTTATTAAGATTTAAGAAATGAGAGAAAAATTTGATATAGAAAATGATTTATTAATTGTTGAATATGATATTTAAGCTATTAAATTCGTGATTAGAAATGGTTAATTTTAATAGACTTTATTTGATTTTTTTGAAGAATCTATTTAATTATTGGATTCATTTGGTAATTCAAATATAAAGGCTGAAAAATTGTTACTTTTAAATGAATTAGCTGATAAATTTGTATAGCCTAATAATATAATGCATGAAACAATTTTGGAATCTTTATTGGATGAATATGATGAAGTAGGTTATATGTTTGAGAATAATTTATTGTAATATAAAGTAGATAGATAAAAAGCATTTCTTTAATTTAGAATAAGAGAAACACTTTTAATAAGTCCAGAGGAAAGTTTAGAAAATTTCTTTTCATTAGTATTAATTTATTATTATTATTATTAGTTTTCAAATTGGATTGAGAAATAAGAATTTCTTGAAATGCTATTTGATGATACGAATGAAATGATTTAATAAGTTTTAGATTAAAAAATGCTTACAGTAGCTCATAAATTAATAAAGAATATAATTGATATAATGGAAGAAGTTCAAGAGAATGAAAAGAATGAATATATTGAAGAAGCTTTGAATCATTATAAAGAGGAAGCATAAAATATATTTGATTAGATTACTGGGAAATGAAATATTGTTTTATGTGTATATTTATAATAAATTAATGCTTTTTTTATTACTAGTACAAATCGTATACAGTGGATTAATAGAAACACTTGATTACTCTATTAATTATCTGAACATTGGTTATACTACTTAAATGACATTTACTTTCAGACTTTAGAGTGGATTAGGAAAGTCAGGGTATTTGAGTCTTAAAATACCATTCTAAATTGAAGCATCTGTTGTTAGTACAGTTCCATAAGGAGTTGATGTAATTTATAATGAAGTCAGCACTACTGATTGTAGTCCAATATCTAAATTTCCTGGAGCTTTATATAAAGATAGTAATGGATGGTACCATGTGAAATTTCTCAATTTAGATGGATATTCAAGAGCTTTAGAAGCAAATACATATTATAGAGTTAGCATATCATCTTAAACAACATTTAGTAATTAAGTTGCTTAAATACTATCTCCAATAGAGGCATTAACAATTTAAGATTTCAGTGTAAATAATTGGATAAAATATGATTTCAATAGAGCCTTTGCATTAATAGAATTCACTCCTACTCCACCATCTACACTTGTATCAAGCTTCACACTTTTATCTACTACTCCTACTTTATTAGATTATAGACACTCAATTTTAGTTTAGATAACCCCAACTATACCTATAGATAGAAAGGCAAGAATAGTAATTTTAATGACTGATAATGATTATTAATTTTAAGGTGAATAATGTACATCAGAATCATATAAAGATGCAAATAATACTGATATACCAGCATTGACAAATTAATAATATTCATGCTAAATTGTTAATAATATATTGACTGTTAATTTATATTAGATATTCAATACAACTCTCAAGTTTAGTTTCAGTATAAAGAATCCTAAATTTGTGAAATTATCAGGAGGTGGTTTTTAAATAATGTCAATGTTTTCATATGCAAATCATATAGTTGAATAAGTGAAAGTCTTAAATATTCTATCAACATCTGCTTTAACTTGGGGAATTAATAATTAAAATTTAGTAACTTATTTTTTATGGGGATTAAAATTATCAGATACAACATTACCATCATAATTAAAAATTATTAGAGATACTACATAAAATCCTTATTTTAATTCATTTAAATTTACATTTTTCCCATCAAGTACTACACCATTAAATTTAAAATTAAGAGTAATCTTAAATTTAAATTCTGATATTGGTTCCATGATTTTAGAAGGAAGTTTATAAGAGAATCTACCACAATATGATAAGAATCCAGTTTCATGTAGTATCACTAAAGTTTAACCAATCAAAATTATTTGTTAAAATGTTGGTACTTTGAATTTTGAGAGTAGATATTTTATATCTATTAAAATGTCATTTCCTTCATAAGCTACTCCAGGAGATCTTCCAGCTGATTTTGGATTAATTTAATTAGAATCATCCTCAAATGGAGTGACATATGATGCACTACCATTAATTCCCTCAGGTAGAGATTAATTAGCTATTTATTCAACTTTAAATAGTTTTGCTATATTAAGTTAGAGTAGTGGGAATGGTTATACATTTGTACATTCCTAACGCTTTTCTGATACCTTTGCATGTCCAACAAGTTCAACTTTTGGTTTACAATATGCAGATTATGAACAAAGATTAATTTTTACAGCTCGACCATAAATTACAACGTTTGCTGCCACTGTTACCACTAGAACAGTAGGATACTATTTGTATACCAATCCCAAATTATAAAAGGGAGTTTCTAATGTAAAAGCCGAATCTCCTCTATAATTTACTCCACCTTTAGCATGCTCTCCAACTCCTGCAGTTTATGACCCTCCAGATTTTGTATTTGATTAAGGAGATGACTTTGTTGATATAATGAATACAAATGAAAAATATACAGTAATATAATTGACTCGAGAGCCTTTAGACACAGCCACTATTTAAAATGTGTTTGGAGGCAATGCGGCAAACAATTTATATACTGTTTCAATAGGGCCAGTTTATATTAGACATAATGCATCTTAATTTTGCAATGAAGATCTAATAGATTTCATTGGTTTTACAGCTGAAATAGGAATTCCAAACAAATCACCAATAGTTCCAATTACAGGAATTATTGCTGCTAATTCATATACATTAAGTGGACCTAATTAAATGACTAATCTCTATTTATCTATTGCAAATTTTTGGACTGGAACTACTGTTAAATTAGATGGTTCATAGTTTCCTGCTTTTATTAGAGTGACTGGTTTTTTGGAACAATCAATTGTAGATAAAGCTGCTAGATTAGCAATATTTTTTAATAATGTAAATTTTTTTTAATATTGAAGTTAACTCCATTCAATGAAGAGATATCTCCTGAAGGAAAATAATATGTATCTTGTTCTTCTACATTAAATAGAAAATAAAAATGTTATGGTTATGTTGGAAGTGATGATTCTACAAATGCTCTTTAATCAGTCTATAATTTACATAGAGTTGAATTCATATTAGATGATACATTTTCTAAAAGTGGACCTGCATCTCCATTCTAATTAGTTATACCTGTAAGCACAGTAAGAAATGTTAATTAATTAACTTTCTATTTGGCTACAATAGCATAAAATTAAGATGATAAAGTTTATAGTCATTTTATAGCATTCAAAAGTTCATTAATTTCTTAAACAATGAATGCTCCTGCTATAGCTTTAGTTGATCCAGTTAATGCTGCAATTACTAAAACAGGTCAAAGTTATAAATTAGATCTTATTAATTATACACCAAGTGTTGGATAATAAGACTCAGCTGCTCAAGTATATTATGGTCACACATAAGCTACACCTGTCATTTCTCCTAATAGTGGAGTTCAATAAGGGGCAGCTTTCTTTTATCAAGGTAAATGGAATATGATTGGACCTAATTTTAGTACAAAAGGATTAATTTTGAATCCAGCATTAACTTATGAATAGAAATGTGTACCTTATCATTATAATGATTTCTATGGATTCTTATGTCCAATGATTGGAGATACAATTATCACTTCCATATCTTAATACATTAAAATTGAAGGATTTAATTATCCAGATAAAGGAGTCTAAACTCCTACAGGAGGTTTTTCTGGATGGAGTGATAAAAATGGTAATTTACAATCATACTCTCCTGAATCAGTGAGTACTATAACTGCTGGTCAAATACAAATACCATTAAATATATTCCCAACTATATAAAGAGGTTATCAAGATTAGATAGTCAAATGGATTTTCACTTCTATAAATAGTATTCCAAAAGATGGATATGTTTCTATTGCATTCACTTCAGGATCTTGGCCATTTACTGTATCAACAGCAAGTTTTTGTGAATTGAGATCAAGTTAAGTTGCAAAGTAAATAACACATACATGTACCATATCAAAGACTGATGGAGTAGAGATTAGGTTTAGTTTTGCAGCCTCTTAAGCATTTCCACCTGATACTTATACTATTGTATAATATGGAGTTAATATGCCAGATTCAAGTTCTAATGATTAAGCTTACAGTATATTGACATATACAATTTTGAATATGATCATAGATTCCACTTCAGTTGGAGCAGGAACTTTAAAATTTAATAATACACCACTTATTCCTAAAATTGAAGTTGGAGATGTTTAATTTGAGAGAATGAATAATGGAATGAGAGGAAAGTTTGAATTCAAATTCAAATTAATTAATCGTGGAGTCTTATATAATCAATAGATAAACTTTGATCTCACTATGATAGCTTCAAGTACAGTATCAAAATCACATTGTTCTATTCTAAATTAAGATGGTTCATAGAATTTTGATTGGAAATCTTTTGAAGGAAGTTCATTTACACTAATAACAATTAGGCCAGTTAGTGATTTGAATCCAGAAAATCAATACATTTTTAGATGTTTTAATATTTTGACACCTAATAATTATATTGCACCTCTTGTAAAAGTATTAAGTGGTTCAACTATTTTATCACAAGGTACAGCTAGTAATCCTCCATTAACATTTGAAGATACACCTACTGTTCTATCATCAACTGGTCTTACATTAACAAAAACTTATCCATAAGCTTATGCAATGATTGAACTAAAAATTAATTTAGTATTAAGTTAACCATTTGATTAAAAATCAACGATATATGTTAACTTACCATATTATTATAATTCTTATGATAATAAGAAAAGTCTTAGTTGCTTAATGAATGATGCAGATGCATATTGTTAATATGATAATGAAAGGACAATTTCAATTAAATTATTCACTCTTACAATAGATTCTTTCACAATAATAAATTTAGTAATAGCTGGTATAATTCAACCTATTTATACTTATAATGATGATTAAATATTTATAATGGTTGATTATGATGAAGTAAAAACTACAATAAATGAATATGGAACATTAAGTGATGTAGCAGTATCTTCTACAGTTCCAATATCTCTAATCATAAGAGATTTCGAGATTTCTAATGTTGGAATCAGAACTGAATCACAATATACTTATTATTTAACAACTTTAGGTAATATATAAGTTGGATAATATTTGGTTATTGATCTTCCATCTAAAGATTATGGTAAATTAGTATAATTGAAACCTCCAACTGCATGTAGTGGAGTATTGGAAAGTGATGGAATAACATCTATTATCTCAAAATGTGAAACATTAGGAAATAGAATTTTATTATAATTTGAAGGAGTACTTCAAACAAATACAAAATATATAGTAAAAATATCAGGAATGACAAATATGGAAGCATCTTCTTGTTATATTGGATTACCAATTTTCAGTTTGATTACTTCAGATAAAACTTAAATCTAATAATTATCAACCTATGTTTATTCAAATATCTAATAATTTAAATTAATAGCTGATTCTACAAAGAAAACTATGTATTGGAAAGAAGAAACAGATAATGATATTAAATATACAATTGAATAAAAAGATGATATTTTGAGATTGAATTATAATGAATTATTGTTAAAACCAGGTTAATATAGTAATATAATATCACTTGGATAGATAAATGGTGGATATGATAAGAAATTAAGATTCAGTATCAATTCGAATAGTGGTTTCTTCAAAGTTATCAATGATCTTATTGTATATCCTGGAGATGGAAAGGCATTAACAAGAATAGGTTGTTCAGGATCAACAAATCCTTAATCATATTATTTATATTTTTCAAAAGATGAATCAGAACCTCTCACATATAGTGAAGCTGGTATTATATAAGTAATGATTACAACAACTAAAACAGAAATTTCAACTTAATTTTCTTCATATGATGTTCCACTTTTCATGAAATCTATACCTGTATTAATAGATTTTTCAGAAAATATTCCTGTTGAAGATCTATTGATTGATTTTGAATTAATTCCTTTTGATATTGATAAACCTGCAGGATTAAAATTTTAATCAACATCTGATACTAAAATGAATTTTTAAGTCACTTAAGAGAACCTTAAAATAACATTCATTATAATCTCTGAAACAGAAGTACAAGATAGTGACAAATTAGATACAATTGATTATTATTATAGTACTTTGTTAATGACTTTTAGTGGAAATTCAGCACCTTATTATGTTTAATCATCCACATAAACATAATTTAAATTAGTAAAAGATAATACTGATGTAATAAAAAAGACTGGATGTATTTATTTAATGTAAATTAATTAATTATCAGATTATTCAAATAAATAAATAATTACTTTTAAATCAGATTAAGATTTAATTATTTATTATCATGCTATAATGTTGAATGGATTTGAAAGAAACTTAGATGATGTAAAGTTATTTTCTGAAAATAATACTTAATTAAGATATTCAGATTATTATTAAGAACAATTTGGTTAAATTTATTTAAAATCAAAGAATGATTATCATTTAGAATTGAAGAAACTAAAGTAATTTATATATATATATATAATATTAGAGCTAGAACATGGTATAAAATTAAAAGTTGGGCTGTTAATTTATATGATATTTAAAATGAAACATAATATGTTGAATTCTTCACTCAAAATAATAATGGTAGATTGATAAAATTAACTTTTCATTTTGGTACAGAACTAAATGCTGAAAGTAAAAAAGCAATAGCTTGTTGGTTATGTTATACTTTTGCATATCCTTGTTATGATGTATTGAGTTATGATGCTATATTCTGCAGTGATTCTATCAATAAAGATCTATCATTTAATTCTACAACTGTCTATTCTTAATATAAAATGCTTTAAGAAACCAATACTACTACTGATGAAACTCCAACAGATGATAATAATTAAGATGAAAACACTTAAGATGAAGGAGTCGAAGTAGATGATGGTGTTGAAACAGCAGTCTAATTTTATTTCATTCCTAATTAAGATTTACCTAATGATATTAATTGGAAATAAGTTATAGCAGGAGTAGAAGATACTAATTTCATGAGATATTTTGTAGGCAATTTAACAAATTCAACTAGATTATTTTCAGTTGATCCTTTTGAAGAAATAACATTTGATAAATCTCCAGAAATCATTAGCAACATTAAATTTACAAGAGGCTTAACTTGGTTATCTCTTTCAGATATTAGATTAAGATAAACTGGTTTAGTTTGGGGATATATTACTCCTAAATTCAGTGATGGTACATATGCTAGTGATGGACTTAAACCTACTAATATTCAAATGAAATATTTTGCTAATTGTCTAAATTAATCAATAAGTTCCAATTATTATTTCATCAAATATTATTCATCAGAAGTATTTAATTTACTCATATACCTTAGTCCATTAGTCATAACTTTACCGATTTATAACCTTCTAAATGGTACAACATATATCTAATAGCCACTTAAGATAGTCCTAGTCTATGGACTGAAACTTCACCTGTGTATTCATTTACAAATAAGACTTTACGAAAACCATTTGATGAACCTGCAGCTATTTATGACACACTTTTATTACCAATACTAATAATTTGGTTAATTTAATGATTAGAATATGTGTCTTAAAATAAATAACAATAATTATTTAATTATATATTTTGTATTATCATTAAAAGATAAATAAAAACAACAAAACTAATCAAATGAATTCTTTTTTAAATATAGTGTAATGCATCCTATTCTAATATTTTCAAAATAATTCAAAAGGTCTTTCATAATAGAAAATAGTTTATTCATTTAAATGTTGTTAAATTATAGATCTTTTTCATATAAATTTATATATATCATATTTTTACATTCAAAATTTTTTGGTACAAGATGTAATTTGAAACCATAGCTCATCTAGAATTGTTTCTTGTACCATATAAAGAGGAGTGCCTTTATATCATATTGTGAGTTTATAATATAGAGTGTTCACTATTTTTGCAAGTCTAAAATCATATAAACTATTGTGAATCATAATTGTCATTCTCATTTTTTGTTTTTTGCTTCATTTTAATATAGGAATCACAGAATTAGACAATGATGCAAAATTGACTATTTTCATTTCTATGAATATTATATATAAACAAATGAAAAACTTAAGATATTATTTTATTAAATTAATAGCCTATGGCTTAGTATAGGTAATTGAATGAAGGGGATATCCCTCCTATAAACAATCCATAAATCGTTACAGGATTTTAGATCCTTCGTTAGAGCGTCGATTTGGGATTAAGGCAAAATCAAGATGCCAGAAAAAGTTCTGTCAAAGCGGCAGCATTGGTTTCTAGATAGAGTTAAATGTATTAATAAGCAAAAGTAAAGATTATTTTAAAGTTAAGGAAAAAGGGGTTGTTTTAAATGAAACAATTGTGAAATATGATGCTCCTTCAAATAATAAACAAGATCTATTAAAAAAAGCATAAAATAAAGGAGAAGAATATAGAAACATGGATGAACATAAAGTTGATGTCATTGCATTATCATAAAGGTAAATGAATTATAATTTATAATAATTAGATATGAAACATCTTTAACAGATGGATTAACTTAAGAATAAGCAGCAGCAAAAAACTAATAATATGGTGATAATAAATTGACAGAAAAAATAAAGAAACCATGGTGGATTAAGTTGATTCTTGAAATGGTTTAACCATTTTCTATATTATTATGGATAGCATCTATTATGTGTTTTGTATTATATGGTGTTAATCCAAATGCATTAGGTGCAAAATCAAATTTATGGCTTGGTAAATATATGTAATTATAATGAATAGCAATCATTCTAATAGCCATTATTTTATTAACGGGTTCAATAACTTATAATTAATCTGCAAAAGCTGATGCATTAATGGAAGGATTTAAAAATTTCCTTCCATAAAGATGTATAGCTATTAGAGGAGGAGAAAAAGTAGAAGTTCCTGCTGAGAAACTTGTTCCTGGAGATATAATTGAAATTAAAATGGGAGATAAAATTCCTGCTGATGTTAGGATTATTTAATCAAGAGAAATGAAAGTTGACAATTCTGCATTAACAGGAGAATGTGATCCATTACTTAGAGTAACAGAACTCACAAGTGAAAATCCTTTAGAAACTAAGAATCTAGCATTTTTTGGTACTTTATGCAAGGAAGGATCAGGAAAAGGTTTAGTAATTTAAATAGGTGATAATACAGTGATGGGTTAAATAGCAGATTTAGCTACAGGTGGAGAAACTCCAGAAACTCCTTTAAATAAAGAATTAAAGAGATTTGTTATATTGATCTCATGTATAGCAGTAGGATTAGGAATATTATTTTTGATTTTGTCATTAGTGGTTGAAGATGCATCTGTTGATACAGCAGTAGGTTAAGCAATAGGAATTATAGTTGCAAATGTACCAGAAGGTTTATTAGGTTGTATTACAGTATCTTTAGCTATTACAGCAAAAAGATTGGCTGATAAATAAGTATTAGTCAAAAATTTAGAAGCTGTAGAAACTCTTGGATCTACAAGTTGTATATGCTCTGATAAAACAGGAACTTTAACATAAAATAAAATGACAGTGGCAAATATTTGGTATGATGGATTAAAGAGAGTTGCTTTGAATAAACTTAAACATGGAAGGAATACTGAATATGAATATGATACTAATGATCCTACCTTTAGAGATTTACATGATTGTGCAATTATTACTAGTGAAGCCAAGTTTAACATTTAAACTAAAGATAAAGCTACAGTTAATTGGTTAGAAACACCAACACTTGGAGATGCATCAGAAACAGCATTAATTAAATTCTTTTAACCAATTGAAGATATTGAAAGTACAAGACAAAGAAGATAACTTGTTGAATTATCAGATAAATCTTTAGCAAAAATGCCATTCAATTCAACTAATAAATTCTCATTATGTATTGTCAATTGGGAGACATAAGATTCTTATTACTGTGTATATATAAAAGGAGCACCAGAAAAGTTATGGACATTTTCAAGTTACTTATTAATAGAAGGTAGAAACTAACCAATAGATGAATAGATAACACAGAAATTCAAATCAGTTAATGTATCATTTGGTAAAGGAGGTGAAAGAGTTTTGGGATTTGCAAAACTTCATTTACCAAGATCTGAATTTTAAAAAGGATATAAATTTAATTTGAATTCAATTGATACATTGAGATTCAAATTAGAAGGCTTTACTTTCTTAGGATTATTATCATTAATGGATCCACCTAAAGAAACAGTGCCATTAGCAATAAAAAAATGTTAATCAGCAGGTATAAAGGTAATTATGGTAACAGGAGATTAACCACCAACAGCAGGTGCAATAGCTAAATAGATAGGGATCATCACAGGAAAGACAGTAGATGATTTATTGGAGGAAAATCCAATGATGTCTTATGATGAAGCCTTTAGATTAGCACCTGCAATTGTAATTCATGGAGACATGATTGTATAAGCTATAGAGGAAGAAAATTAGAATGGAGAATTTGTACCTGAAGAAATGAAAGATAGAAGACTTAAAAGTTGGTGTAGTAAACCTTAAGTTGTATTTGCACGTACATCTCCAGCATAAAAACTTATGATAGTAAGAGCCTGTCAATACATAGGACATGTAGTAGGAGTGACTGGAGATGGTGTAAATGATTCTCCAGCAATTAAATAAGGTGATATTGGTATTTCAATGGGTATTAGTGGATCTGATGTCACTAAAGATGCTGCTGATATGATATTATTAAATGATGATTTTGCATCTATTGTTGATGGTGTTGAAGAAGGTAGAAAGATATTTGACAATCTTAAAAAGACAATAGTTTATTTACTTACTTCAAATATCACAGAAGTCTTCCCATATGTTGGTGAAATTGCTATTGGATTACCATTACCTTTAAGCAATGCCTTTATTCTCACTATTTGTATTGGAACTGATATTTTACCTGCTATTTCCTTTGCCTATGAAGAAGCTGAAATCGATATTATGACTCGTAAACCCAGAAAGAAGGATGATCATTTAGTATCTCTAAGATTAATCACTCATGCTTACTTATTATAAGGAATTATTGCTACTTCTGCTGGTTTCTTTAGTTATTTTAGCACAATGAATGAATATGGATTCCCTCCATAATTACTTCTTAGTTTTATGAATACCTCATACTAAAAAATTCCATGGCCATCTATTACTTTAGCTAATGGGCAACCTTATACTCCACCTCCTACAACTTGGGTATGGGATTTACCAAATATGAATAAGTAAATATTTCTATTAATTTTTAGTCCATTTTTAACTACTCAACCTTACAGTCCTGATTGGTAATAAGCTCCTATTCTCAATGATACAAATGGATATATTGGTTTCTAAAAAACTCCACTTAATTGGATAAATCCTGAAATTATTTACTATGATTTAAGATATATCTTTGTATATTACGATAGTGAATATCATAGATGGTTCCCAACCTTTAAAGAATGGTAAAATTAAAATTCAGATGAACTCTGTCGATATTTCGATAGATCTGATTCCTTACTTGAAAATAACTCATATCCCATTAATACTAATGCTTGTTTCAAAACTGCTGCACTTAAATATGCTTAAACATCATATTTTGTTGCTGTCGTACTTGTCCAATGGTCTAATGTCTTTTCTTGCAAATGTATATTATAAAGATTTATATTTAGAACGTAAAATGTCTTTGATTTATTCTCCAATTAATGTAGTTATGTTTTATGGTGTCCTCCTTGAGACTATTATTTTTATTTGTATTGTTTATATACCTGGAGTAAATACATGGTTTGGTGCTAGACCAGTTGATATTTTAAATTTAGGGTAAATTAATGATATCATTATTATTATTAGAATGCCTGGTCTACCATATTCAATGTGTCTATTTTGTTGGGAAGAACTAAGAAAGTATTTTATAAGAAATTTCGCAAAACCTAGTAAATTTGAGCCCAATTTCTTTGAAGCAAATTCATTGTGGTGAATTTATTAATTTTTATAAGTAATTTAAATAATATTTTTATGAATCTTATATATCTCATTCTATTAAATTATATAGTTTAAAGAAAATGATATATTTATCTTTTTGATAATAATTAATTATCATATTTATAAGCAAATTATTTACTTAAGTCACCAAATTTCTAGAATAAAAAATCATAACCTTTAAAATCAATCGTTTAAATATGATGATATATGTATTTATATAGGTTTTCATTATTTAATTATATCAAAAATATAATTAATTTAACAAATAAGAAAAAGATAATTCAATTCAATTATAAATTTATTTTAAATTATATATATATATTTAAAGTTATGAGTTAATAAGTTGAATTAACATCTGTATTTGGATTAAATTTCTTACTCATATTATTCACTTTAATTTGCTATCATGTGTTATTTGTAAGGAAAGGAATTTACTTTCCAGGACCAGAAGATGGATCAATACTGCTGATATAAAATTCATTCATAACAATAAAGCATAATATTAAACTCCTTTTAGCATTTGATAAGGAATATTATACTAGAGTTTGTGGGTATTTGAAATTATAATTTGATTAGGATTGATGGATTTTAGTATCTCTATTTC